GGATAAATTTAGAAATATTTGCTACTGATATTGTATTAGAATTGCATTGTTCTCATAATTGAGTCATCATTAATTTTATGCTAAAATATTTTTTTTATTATTAGTTGTGCCACCACAAGGCCTGGAATCACTTGAAATCCAGTTGATTGAATCTAATGAGAGATGCATTATTGTTAAAGTACGATCGCAAGACCAACGACATGGAAAATTTTAATAAGCACGTTATAATTGACAGTATTGAACGCCTTATTAAAATTTAGCAGAATAAGCTCATTAATGTCTCCTTGCCAAGTTTCAAAAGAGTCTCTTATGTGCGAATGTAACTTTCCTATTTGTTAAATATCTCAATTAAATATCTCGGACATATTTTCCGCGTAATATAAAGGCACCGTTCCACTATATTTTGTGTAACTTATTAATCGTTTCTGGAATAATGTACCATTTATTCCTGTCAGGAAACAATCTGGTGAAACGAACGGAGATAGTTTCTAAAAGCCAATACTTTTTTTGTGGTTATGAAGCGATTCATTATTAATCTTACAGTTTCCTGCTTTCCAGAACACCACTTCTGCCATAAAAAAATTGTCCATTTTATAACTTGTTGGAACCTAACCAGTTATGATCAATTCCACGGTGTTATTTTGAAAGCAGAATAATTTTTAATCACTATACTTCATATCATCATCCAGCTATATGTGACCGGGGAGAAGAAATTTATGAAAAGGAACATGTAGCTAGCTCATTATCATCTATTTCGATTTTGTGAAGACCTGTTCAAAGATACTAGCAAGTTCATCGCGAGTATCTTTCTTTATCTCACTTTACGTTACTCAAAGTCCTCAAAGTTGAAGTGTAATAGTTTAAGTTCGCTCTGTTGATCTGAATTTGCTTGTTCTAAGTTGATTATAAACTCGGTGCGAATAATGAGCATAATTTTTGATAACACAAATGGAGCTTGGTCGCTTTTGGTATAGTTGTTGGTATCTTGAAATCAATTTTGTATTAGACATTTATTTAGACTTTTAGAATGGAATTTTATTACTCATTTTGTTGGTGAGGTATTCCTAGATTTCCTAGTACCTCTTCTCCTAAAATCTTTGCTCATTTTTCTTAGAATTACTCTAAACATGGTTTCTTTGTGTAACGCCGCATTTTTTAACCGTCCCCAAGCACACGTGATCGTTAACATCTTGTCGGTTGAAAGCAATTTTTGTAAAAGATTTGACCCTGGTGCCAATTGCGCAATCCGTTATGTTGATTATTTTACCGTATCAAATGAATATGTATAACTGGTGTCGGCGAAGGTTAAACAAATAGTTCTTGTAGCTAAGTTCTTATAAGTTTACCAATTATCAAAAGTCACAGAGCTGACGGGAATTTATTGCCTGATATTAGAAAGTGTTATATCTTACGTAACGTTTATTTCAATTATAATATTCCGTTTTAATATTTATGTTTTGATACTAAAATGTTAATATAGAACTTACCACCGTATGACATCATGCAATTCACACACCAATTTACTTACATTTAAATAACACACTTATTTTAGCGTGTTCCTTCGGAATAAATGAATAATCATTGGCTTATTAAACGAAGGTTGATGAACTTAATGGGTTAAAACATCAGGAAGTTTATTACTTAGTACCATAATATCATACAAAGTTTTTCATCTTTAAAAGAAATAAAATACTTTTAAAATATGGATAAAACAGGAAAAGAAGTCTGAGTTATTTGCTGATAACTTAAAGTGCGGGTCCCGTTGAAACAGGAAGCGCGGTTACACCGCAGCAATTCCAAACTTATCTCTGGCACAGTTGGGTTTCCTTAAACGATATCCGCCGCAATCTCGTTCCTGGGAGCAAATATTTGTTTACCTCCTTATGGATCCAGACCATCGGACGCTTTACAAGGTCTTCGCATACCTCGAAACCGTTTCAAACTCCAGGTTAAGTAAATACCCTCGAGCAATATTTACGTTAAGAGTTCTATGTACGCGTATACTTGGTAAATCATCTTCGGATGGATTCGTTTTTTGTTAGATTTTAGGTGCCCTCGAGGAAAATTTCTAGATATAGCGTCAAATTAACATAGCAAAATGGTTTCTAATGTATGACGACTGTTGCTTTAGGAGATGAAATTATTTCTGCATCGAGTTGCCAATGCGGAAGCTTGGGATTTTAGATGCGGCAGCTCATTTGAATAATAATGTAGACCGAGTGGATGGAAATTACCGTAGGTAATTGTGTAATCAATCAAGCGCAAACGACGACGTACTTGCAATAGGCTAGTATGTACTTTTTTATTCACTTGCTTGTTAAGTTAACGTAGACGCGCAAGCATACTTCTTGGATGAAGTGTTCGGACCCCTTCTTATTATCCAACGATCGATGAATGATTAATTACTGTTGAAAGTACGTAATTGAAAGGTGGTTCAAGGCGTCCGAGTGAAAAAGCCGACTCTCGTGCATTTTCTAAAAGGTGTGTGTGGTAATTATTATTAGTCGACCGTTGTATATAGCTGCGGGAAAAAACAAAGCACCGTTAAAAATATATTATTTTCCAAGATCATGGTTCGCGTCATTAATTTACAATCTTATGAGTTTTATTGCCAAGTTTATAAGTTGATCAAGGTTAAAAAGATAGCACGAAAAATGTTAAACATTTTTATTTATTAAGAATCAATTTAAAGTTGGCGCTTTCAAGCACTTTCGGAAGTAAACAATGTTAAAGCACGATTTGTATTCGCCTCATAACAGAACACGCTACCGATTGCGATTATAAAAATACATTTCCTTCACACGTTTTAATTGTAAATTCCAATCATTACCACTTTCACACCTCAAACAAAACCAATCATCTTTATTACCAATAAGTGGTTGATCAATTAGGAACAACGTAATGTTGTATTACTTTCTAAAATTATTGTGGCATTCATATTAATACGGAAATGTTTCAGAAAGATGATCTCACTGTAAAATATATCCTTCTGTAATAAAATTATTCTATTTGGTTTGATCTACTAGACCGAGATGGTTACTTATTTCTATTTTTAAACACTTTTTTTAGTGGAACCTCAGTTTTTATAAAGTTCATTACATCTATCGCTAAGCGGAGCCCTATAGTTGTCAGTTCCTCGAAATCTTGCTTTATCCACATCCAAACCTAAAGACATATTCTTGGATATATTCTGAGTTTTCGACGCTTTCACTACGAAATTTTCCTTTTGATATATTATATGGGCTAGATATCGTTTTGATAGGCATATTATAGTGCTCTTTCCAAAACTTTTGAAGGATGGAATTGTTTGATCATCATTATTGTTCCAACTCTGGACAGGCTAGATATTTGATCAGCTAGAATTTTGTTGTTCCAGTGTTCGTTTGAGGAAATTGGTAGATTTTTGTTTGGTAATGATTGTGTTAGTTTAGATAGAATAAGGAAAGTGGTATTGAGGGTAAAGTTATTCGGAAAATGAGGTTGAACGTTTAGGTCCACTTTCCATTTTGATATCTTTGGTGAGCCGTCTTCCAGCCCAGATATTTTAGCATGTATTTATTGCCTTAGATGAGCGAGTAAGTTCGCTGCTTCTTCCGTGATGAAGGAGGCTTGGAATCCTGGATCGATAAGTATTCGGAGTTGTTCGGAACTGCCGGAAACTGTCTTGACTTTCACCAGGGCTGTTGCTAGAAGAACTTCACTTTCTAGTCCGCTTGATGCAATCCTGTTCTTTCCTTCTTTTTTGGTAGAAACTAGGATTACATTTTTTGTAGATTTTGAAGCAACGTATGATGTGGTTTTTCGCAGATGTGACAGCTTAACGTTGAGTTGCACATGTTGCTTTTGTCGTGAGATAAGCAATTCTTGCACAATTTTTTAAGTTTTGATGTACTTTGTTCTTTCTGGAACTGTAAGTTTTTTTAATTTCATGCAGAAGTGTATTATGTGGTTTTCTTTACAATATCTGCACTTATTCTTATTGTAAGCATCTTTTGCTTGCATTGGATTACTTGCATTGGATCGCTTTTTTGGTTCAGCGATTGCTTCTAGTGTTTGGAAGCCAGTTCTGACAAAACTTAATAAATCTTGGAAGTCTTGTATTTTATGTGGTTCTTTCAACGACAGTTCGTTTGCTTGTTCGTCTCATAGTCCCATGTTCTGACAAGTATTCTTTCTATGATAGGACCCCAAGATTCATTAAGTTTTCTCATAACTCGCTTAAAATTGGATTTCAAATGGATTATTCGACTACCATGAACCAACAGTTTACATGCTTTTTGTCAAAAAAACCTTTTTTTTTACATAAATACATAGTTTTGTGAGCCGATTTTTCTCCTACTGTTCATGGGTAGGCATTTATTGTTTAGAAATTGTTGGGTTGGGTTGGATTTCTTCAGGATAGTGTAGAATCTAGAGGTGTTGAAATGAATTTGTTGCACACCGGATGCCAATACATGTGGTAATGGACCAACTAGAGATACTGATAAAGATGGTTCATGCCCTTAATGCCCGCTCGCAATTGTTAGCTAACCATTAGCTGATAGGCAGCTTCTATCTCGAAACTGGATTTGCTGTGGCAAGTTACACAAGGATTGACTTGAAGTACCCCAAAATGGATTTTTCATTGCTGATGATATGTACTTGTGAATGTTGTTATGACGTTACTCTATGTTCACTAACAGCATAATCAGTGTCTGATGTACCAGAATTGAATTAATAATAGTCATTAATTATTGAATCTGTCAAGTTATGTTTTTTATCTATTTAATTTCTACTAACATCATTAGCATATTAAATAAGTAGAGAACTATAAAGTATTTTAAAGCTAGAATGTTTTCAATAATGTTTTTAAACTTTTAATTATGTTAACCTTGGTTTTTGAGATATATGACGAAATCTCTAAATTCAATATCGATCTGATACTCGATACTTTGAATGATTATTAAATTTAATTTCACAAATTATAACAATATAATAATGATTTTTTTAAATTTTTTTAGGTCTGCCCTTCAAACATTGCACAAAGTAAGTTCGAAGGCACGGCAAGAAAATTATTATCAGGGCGGAGTGACCCACTCGTGGGTGAGTTACTATGAGGAAAGGATTGAATCGGATAGATCTTGTCTCAACGAATGGCACGCAATGGACAACCTGGAGTCCAGGAGGCCACCTTCCCCCGATTCGGTTCGCACAAAACCAACAGAACGGGATGAAACGGAATGCGTCATCCGGTCCACTCTGAAAGAAATTATGATGTCCGTCGATCTGGACGAAGTAACCAGCAAATATATTAGAGGTAGACTCGAAGAAGATCTCGATATGGATCTTGCCGAGTATAAACCTTTCATCGACCAAGAAATGCTTGTTATTCTCGGCCAAATGGATGCTCCCACTGAGATTTTTGATCATGTTTATCTCGGTTCTGAATGGAATGCTTCTAATTACGAAGAATTACAAAGAAATGGGTATGAAAACTAAATACTTTTTATTTTATTATTAAAAGTAATATCGTTTTTTTAACTTATTTAGAGTTCGACATATTTTGAATGTAACGAGAGAAATCGACAATTTCTTCCCAGGAAATTTTGATTATTTAAACATTCGAGTTTACGACGATGAAAACACGGATTTACTAAAACATTGGGAAGACACCTTTAAGTATATTTCAAAAGCACGTCAGCAAGGGTCCAAAGTTCTTGTACACTGCAAGATGGGGATAAGCCGTTCGGCTTCTGTAGTTATAGCGTACGCAATGAAAGCTTATAATTGGGATTTTGAGAAGGCAATGAGACACGTGAAAGATAAAAGAAATTGTATCAAACCCAATACTAGTTTTATGAAACAACTGGAAACGTACCAAGGAATGTTAATAGCCATGAAGAACAAAGAGAAGCTACAAAGATCTAAATCGGAAACGAATTTAAAATCGCCGGATTCTACGAGAAGTAGCGAAAAAGTTTTAGTTGGTAGTGAACCAACTCCAATCGTACAATCTCAAAATTTAATGAAACTACAAAATCATAAATCAGGACATGAATTAAGACAAACGGGTAGTAGACCTAAAAGTTGGTCGCCAGATATAACGACTGAAAGTAATTTATTACAAGAAACTAAGTTGCCGCAAGTTTCGCGATCGTTAGAAAATTTAACTCAAAAATTAGAACAAAACGAATCTCATCAAAAAAAGGAACAAACAAGTTTAAGAAAAACGTTAGCTAAAAGTTTATTAGCAAGAAACGTGTTGTTACCGTGTGATAACGGGGAATCTTATAGTGTCTCTCCAAATCAAATAATGCATTTGCCTGGTTCGAAGGAAATTGAACAACCTCAATCGGTTAAAGAAAGAATCAGCGAGTTGGAATCTCAAAAAGAAAAGAAAAAGAAAAAAGAAAGTGAAAAGAAAAAGCTTGTATTAAATCTTTTGCCACAGTTTAATGAAGTAAAAGACGATGGCAAAAAAGATGATGATAAAAAGGGCGATAAAAAAGATGATGATGCAAAAGATGATAAAAAAGAAGTGATCTCAGAAGAAATGCAATTAAAAAGTGCACCGTCTGTATTAAGAGCGGTTTTAGTTAAAAAAGAACAATGGGATCCAGGAGAGAAAGAAGACAAAACGAGCGCTTCAACTGAAAATACCTGTGATGTACAATATAATTGTGTTAAAAGTGATGAAAAACAAACTCTTTCAAATAATTCTTCACTAATCGTACCTAACCCAAATGATAATGCTTGCACTTCTAATAATATAGTTCCTGATGTACAATTGCGCACAAAAACAAAAAAAGATGGTGATCCTTTCTCAAATCAATTAGATAAAGTTTTTGATCGAGAAGAAAGAAAACATCAAAGACATTCAGCCGCTCCAACAATACCTATACATCACGAATCAGACGATATTAAAGATAGCCCATCAAGACAAAATTCGTGGAGTTCATACGATAGTGCAGTTGTTCTTGGATATCAAGGCGAAAAGAGAGACACACCATCAAGACATAGTTCATGGGGATCCGGCGATACGCGAACATTACCATCAAGAAATAGTTCTTGGGGATCCTACGACATAAGAACAGTACCGAATTCCGCCGATATACTCGATTCATCTTCAAGCGGTTTATTTCAATATAGCAAAGATGAATTTCCTTGGTGTCCTGGAACCGTGCGAAGAACAAAACAAAAATTGGAAGATGGAAAAATTCAAAACGATAATAGTGAGAATAATGCAAGTAACAATAGTGATAATATAGTGGAAGCTTTGAACGCGACTTTAATTAATAATAAAACAAAAAATGATGAAATTGAACGGTTTCAATCGAGTGCCATATCCGCGAAAATTAATATTGTTCAGCACAAAAAAAAATCTTCACACGCATCATCACAATTATCAGTTAGCGCTCCCGAAACTTCAACGATGGAGTTGGTGACACAAGATTGCTCTCTTTCACGATCGGCATCTAACGTTTCGAATTTATTACAAAATGACGTGTCTAGTCCTAACATTATTAGCACATCACAATGTTCGTCCGTAAAACAGCACAAAACGTACTTAGAAAATTTACATAAAAACCCTTTTAGTATTCAAGAAAAGAAAAAAAACGATGAACAAACATCGAACATTTTAGGTATCGTAAGAAATCGTAAAAAGGAATTTGAAGCAAAAAACAATATTGATCCACCGAAAGGTGGAGGTAGTTTACCGTCTTCACCAATTTTAGAAAAAGATCGTAAAGATTTAAATAATAGTGGATCTGATACGGGTGAAGATTTAAATTTAAAAAAATTAATTGGTAAATTTGAGAATGCTAAAGAAAATCAAGAAACGGTTAACTTACGTACGAAAACATCACCGAAACCATTCACAAAAAATTTACGACATTCGTGTTATGAGGTTTCCGTTGAAAAAAATTCCGTTATACCAAATTATAAGACTTCTTCAATTGTAGAAAACACCGACGAATATAAACGACCGCCAATTTCCCCGTCGAACATGGTGATATCAACGGTGATATCGACGGCTGCCGTCAAGAAACAACAACAATTTGGAAAAAGTCATCCGTTGGCGCGATTAAAAATAAGGCCGAGACACAACAGCCCCGTTTTCAATACTATGTAAAACGCTCAAATCGGCATACGGCTGTGAACCAATCACTACAAACAACAATAAATAATATAAAATTAAAACATGAAGGTATCGAATTATTTTCGTAGTAGAAATTTTGTGTGGATCCATTATCAAACTGTTTTATTAAAATTAATTACGATCAAAATCAACAAAAAAAAATGTTTGAAAATATAAATATCATTGTTTTGTGCTTCCTCTCGACTTTTCGTTTTAAGCTTGTAAATATATTCTTTAATTATTTCGTATGTCGTTGATTTATTTTTCTTTCTTTGGAATAAATTTTCTATTAAATTATTATTTATACTATGTTCAATGAATCATCATAATACATCAGTGTGTTTTTTTAAAGCTTTAATATTCATATAATGTTGATTTCCATGAATATCTAATTCGAAAAGTTTAGCAGCGTGTTATGGTGATTAAACCAATTCATTGAGAGTAGTATAATTAATTGAGATGATTTTCTGCGGATCATTTTGAAATTACTTTGCAACTTTTTATTTTGCACCTGACCAATTTTGTAATGTGACACGAATTTTGTTTCATAAAATATTTTGAGTAACTTTTTTGCAGATTAATGATTTTGAAAAATATAATTTATTTAACTAGTTGATTTTCTATAAAATAACTGGACTCAACTTTTTGTTCACTTCTTGATTCTCACACAACTGATTGAGTAAGAATTTGAGCCAATATAATTTTTTTAATTTCCTCTTTGTGATCTGTACTCTGCAATGTTTCGATTTTTTATCACAAAAATAAAGTTTGTCATTTTAAATATAAAACGTACGTCGATTTGCAACTGCACAATAATCACATTATTAATTGTAATTGTCGCACAAACTACTGTGTCAAATGTACAGCAAGACTGGCACAATATAATTAATTCTAATTTTGAAGAAATTCTTTACAGCATAAGTAACAATTAATTTACTTTTTTTGCTATATTTAATTATTTTGTAAATTATTTGGGATAAGTTAACTTGTAAAAGCCAATTAGGCAATTATGATCCTATTCAGTTAAAGTGATGTTGCTGAAACTTATTGATATTATTTTTCTTCATTAAAGCTAAAATCTCATAATCTAACTTTACAAAAATTTTGCGTTAAAATATCCTTTTTTAACGCCCATAGAGTTGTTGGGCAAGCTATTTAATACGTTGGCTACCTCATTACCCATATTGGGGTGCATAACCTGTATTAGGATGAGTTTATTTGATTACTTGTAACATAACTTGAAGTAGATTGTACTCCTAACATAATTTTTCTGACCATATTTGTGCTAGAGTTCTAAATTACTTCATTATCTTAACCAAGACTTGGTTAATATTAGATTGAAACTTAATTAATTTATTCAAAAGTTCGGACACACGAAACAATCATACTGATAAAAAATATTAATTGACACAACTTTGCATGTTTTATTGATAACCTTGTTGCTGATGTACTCAAAGCAACTCATAATCAATTTGTTCTGCAACTGAAACACTGCGTTGGATTGATATATCCACACGTAATCGTCATGTTTAGAGGCTTCTAGCGCTTCGCCCTCAAGTGACCTCGGCGGTTTGAGGTTAAACGTCTTTTTGTAAGATAGTCTACCTTTGCCAAGATATATAAGCAACGATTTCGCCTCAACCCGCCGAGGTCGCTTGCGGGCGAGGCGCTATATTTACTATGAATCAATTTAATCTAAGATCATTACCGATTAATAAAAGTCAGAAATGCTAGACTGAGGTTCAGAATTATTCACAACATAATGATAATGGATATTTGTTGAAATCGGAGTTATTCAAAACTTTGACCTACTCTGTAAATCGTTAGAATTCCAGAGCTACGAATTATGAGTGATCTCGTGATCTTGAAACAGCTAATATACTCGAAAACAACTTGTGCAAAAGTTTGTTTTTTATATTCCTATTGTCTGGCTAGCTGTCAAAATTGGGTTCAGTATGTGTACCAATGTTATAAATTCCTGACAATAGTTTTTGCCCTAAACATCTACATAACTGCTAATGCTTGCCAGTTTCTTGCAATCATGCCTCAGATCATTATCTCTTAACTACTCTATGTAATTTAATTTTTTAGGTGGGGGTAAACAATTGTTCAAATTTTGAACTATATACACAAATTGTATATTTTTGTCACCAAGCACAAAAATAAATGATCTGAAAAAGATATTTGCTCATACTTCGAGCAGTTGCCCAAATTTTACAAAATTCTATAAAGGCCTTTAAATTCCGCACTTTTTTGAAATTAGTTCTAATGGCTTAATATACAGAGTACATACTTTTTAATTATTACTCAAGATCACCTTTGCATTTTAAAATAAGTATGAAAAAAATAATCCATCTAACCAACTAATTACAAGATTATCAATAAACTTGAAAAAAGCTCCACCCATTTCAATTTATATAGATTCAAAACTATAAAGTGAAAAGTTGCAAAGTAGTTTAAAATTAAAGCATTTTAAAAGATGTCTTTGATTTTTTTTAACGTCATTAAATTTCTACAACAAAATTGTAATTCAGACTGACTCAACATCCGATTGATATAAATGACATTGTGATGACATAGCTATCAATAAAAAGATCAATTTTAGAAATGCAATTCGAGCTCAATTTTAAGAAAGAAAATCTTTCAAAGAATTACAAAATAGAGTATCGATACAACTGCCAAATTACCTGTATAATTTCATAATTAAATAAATGTGGACCATACGAATCGTCGAGCTATTTACTGTTACTACAATTACTACTAAAAGAATGATGTTTTGTTTTATTTTCGCTACATATCAAAAAGATAAGAACCATCACCATATTTTTTTTTATTCATTCATATTAAAAATGTTCACGTAAAGATTGGTGTTCGAAATGAGCATATTATTTAGACAACAATGACGTGTATTGATTAGAAACTCAATTTAGACATGGCTGTTTAAGAAATCTAGTCTTGTATGTGTGCGCTAGGAAGGAAATTTAAACGAAATACTTGCAGCATGTTGTGTGCTCACACTCTCTAAGTTGTAAATACAATATTCTAAACAATATATTTTTTAACGTCGAGTACAACTCCTCGCAGTACGCTGAAAAAAAGGAAAAACAAAAAAGATTCATGACTACAGACCTACTTTAAGAATAATCGGTGTCGCGATTATTTTGTGAAGTTGTTCCGTTTTGTAATGTATAAGGTCTTTGTACTATAGAATTTTTATTATCTTCATTTAATTTTTTTTTGTAGGATTAAGTTCGTTTCGAGATGTTCTTGCTTTCGTGTGCATCTGTGTGATAGACATTAAAAAATGAAATAAATTTTTTTTGTACCATAATGTGTAATATACGTTGCAATTGTACGTCGAATCAGAAAAAGAGTTATTGTTTTACTTATAGACCTCTGACGAAAAAAAAAAAAATGAAATAAAGAGATACAACTATTTATGTATATTCTATTTGGTATATTCTTTTCCCGGCCGATACAGCCATTCTTGGTATTGGTGCTTGATTAAAATCTGAGTTGGGACTGGACTCATCCACACCGGCTAAACCTTTTTTCTTTGGAACCTCTGCTACTGGTTGTTTAGATTTTTTCATTGGACCAAGTGCCACGGAGTATACAGCTCCTGGTAATTTATCTATATAAGCAAGCGCCTAAAGGGATTGTTTAGTTAAAAAAAAATTTGTTAACACAACTAAGTACTTACAACGTAATTTCTTACATCTATTAGTCTGAATAAATTATTATCCGTTCCTCCACACACAAAGAAATCCTTATTAAGATATCTTCCGCAATATAACTAAATACATACAAGAATTTCATTACGTTGACTAAACTATATTAATTTAAAGAAATTATTTTACTTTACTAGTCACGTTGTCCGGCCGAACTGTTTGAATTAAATTACCAGAACCATAGTCCCAAACTTGTATTTGATCATTTTCCTGCCATGAACATGTTAATATTTCAGTTCCTTTCGGGCTAATATCTAAACCTTCCCCACACATATGTATCCCGGAAATGTGGCGTACTGCAAAAGGTTGTCTCGCATCCCAAAAGTAAACCACGTCATCCCAACCACCCGTTATAAGCTCGTGATTTGATCGGGGATTAAAACAAGCAGCAAAAACTCTTGAAGTATGACCATCAAGAAGACTTGCAGATTCACTAATTTTAATTAAAAAAAAACTGTTTTAGTAATTTAGTCAAAAAATGTTTAGAGATCATCTCTGAGAGATTGTTGAGAGATTAATACGGGGAAAGGAGTTATAGCTAAAAGACCGTTTTATAAATAATTTTAATGCACACAAATTTGGACAGCTATCAGTTCAATCTACGTGGCTTTATATTTATACTAGAAAAGTTTGGGTTCAGCCGTGCGTCTTCAGACGCTAGCCTTCTAGTTCTAGTCCATCTTATGCCAACTAGTGCTACCTACCACTGTCACTAGAACTAACATTAGACCTAGAACTAGAAACATTCGGGTTTAGCCGCACGTCTCTCAAGACGGCTAAACCCGAATGATTCTAGTTCTAGGTCTTGTGTTAGTTCTAGTGCAAAATTAGAACTAACACTAGACCGTGAACTAGAAATATTCGGATTTAGCCGCACGTCTCTCAAGACGGCTAAACCTGAATGATTCTAGTTCTAGATCTAGTGTTAGTTCCAATGATAGTGCTAGTGCAGTACTAGAACTAATACTAGTCCGAGAACTAGAAACATTCGGATTTAGCTGCACGTCTCTCAAGACGGCTAAACCCGAATGATTCTAGTTCTAGATCTAGTTTTAGTTCCAATGATAGTGCTAGTGCAGTACTAGAACTAACACTAGTCCGAGAACTAGAAACATTCGGATTTAGCCACACGTCTCTTAAGACGGCTAAACCCGAATGATTCTAGTTCTAGGTTTTGTATTAGTTCTAGTGATAGTGCTAGTGTAAAACTAGAACTAACACTAGACCTAGAACTAGAAACATACTGAAAACGCACGACTAAACCCGAAACTTTCTAGTTCTAGTATTAGTTCAATAAAAATATGCAACAGAGTAATATTTAGTGCTAACTGGTACTACCTAGCATTGTCACTACAACTAACACTAGACCTAGAATTACAAACATTCGGGTTTAGCAGTACGTCTCTTAAAACGGCTAGAACCGGCTAGAACCGGCTTAAACCGACAACTCGGGGAATTCGCTAAGTTAATCTATGAACATGGAGAACTTGGGGAATAATCTGAGTTAGATTCTATCTACATGCGCTAAATATAAATAGATAATATTAATTGATGTCCGTTATATCGAGTAAATATTTTACCTTCCAGAAAATATACGTTCTTGAATCCTATTCTCTTCATCATACAAATTAATTTTTCCATCACTTCCGCAGGTGATAAATTTTGGTAATCGTGGATGATAGGCGACACCATAAGTTTGTCGTTTTTCGCGGATTGTGTATAAACATTGGGAAAAATTGTAGCTCCAACATTTCACGCAACCATTTGCATCTAAATTTAAATTAAATGATTCTTTAAAAAAAATAATAAAGCAAAAATTACATGTAGTAATTAACGTGTGTGTTACAGGATAATTCTTTGAAAGCGGTCTGTGTTTCAGACATGTTACAGGAGCTGGATTTTCAGTTATATCGTCGTCGATTAAAGATCGTAATAGCTCAAGAGTAGCAGGTTTATAAAATCTTACTGCTCCGTCAGTATGGCCAGCAGCCAATTGGTCATATTGTTCAGTGTATTGAACGCAAAGTGCTTCTTTACTTGTTTCACTATGGAATTAAAAAGCAATTTTAATAAATTATAATAAATAAATAACACCAAAGTTATTTTAAATTACATACAGCACAGATAATACATTAATATTCTTCATGCTAAGATTGTCAAAAGCTCCGACACTCGCCATTAAAGAATCCACAGTATTTGTTTTATCTTTATCCGCTCCTTTGACAAAAGTGAAAGTTACCGCAAATTCATTTTTTGAACTTTTCTTAATCGACTTCGGCCTTACTTTTTTACTTGCAGTAGAAACTTGATCGGGTTCTTGTACGTTCGTCATTCTACTAAATATTTTTAACTGGTTAATTTTAAAAAGCGCAATTTTGAAGTTTTTAATTTTTAAAAGGTTTTTTCTATTTTTTTTTTTAGTTTTAATACTGGATTATTTCATTTTTATGATTAGGATAAAATTTTGAATGTATTTTACGATAATTTTAAACTCATTTTTTGGTGATTTGATGACTTTGAAACAAGAAATTTTGATTTTGTACTGTCATGAATGAATAATATTTTTTAAGGTTTTTAGTTACCAAGGAGTTTTAATAAAATTTGTGTCAATAGAAATCTTTATTAACTCTTAAAAAATATTCTTTCTAGTCGTTCTCTCATTATTAAGAAAAAGAATTCTAGAATTCTAAAAAATTCTAATCTCTTCGTGTAATGTGTCAAAAATACCTCAGGTCGATTCAGTGATTGAACTAGCCCCATTTTAGTACTTTTTGTAATATATCTTGGATAGTCAACTCATTGCATATTTAGCCAGTCCTATTCTTCTTCGGATGTTGCTCTCACTTGAACCTGTGTTATCAATATATGAGTCTAGATACATGATCTGGTCTACAATTTGCAATCAATGTAGAACATCCGTCAGTTGCAGAATATCAGGACGATCAACTCGGTTTAGATGATCCAGCATTTCTTCTTCTGATGCATCTATCTAAAAATTAAAATTATATCTCATGTTTGTAATCTTCTTGCCGGCAATTAAGATCCCTCCATTCCATTTGTCCAATGCCTTCTCATTATGTATTTTCCATTGATGTTAAAGAGATGTAGAAAGAATATGCATCTCTTTTACTACTAGTTTTAAAGATGAACAATCAGCATTTACCAGTTGACCAACCTCCACCAGCATTTTCCAGTTAACGCAGTCAAAAGCCAAGGTAATCCAAGAAACAGATGATCATTGGGATATTAAATTCTCGATATTTTTCCTACCAATGTAGATTGCGACAATGAATACGGTTGCCCCAACTGACCTTTCTGTTTCAAACTTAGTTTTGTTGTTTGAATATACTTGATCTGCATTGTAACCGTCGAAGAGTTCATTAAATTTAAAATTTCAATGTTTTTCTCCCAAAAAAATTTACATTTTGCAATTCCCACGTTTAATAAATAGAGTATTTGAAAGTGTAATTAGATATAAGGTGTCCTTGCCTGCGTCTTTATAACGAGTTCTTATTAAATACTGATCGTTATTTCAACTGTTCATCCGTTCAAAGTTTCTCATATATATTTTTTTAAGAAGATGAATTCTAGATGTGGAGAAGAAATTGTCATCACAGGTAAATTCAAGTATAAGTGTTAATTCTACTCTTAACTTTTCAATTATTAGGTATCGCAGGCAGATTTCCCGAATCCGATGATGTTCGACAATTCAAAGAAAACCTCTTCAATAAGGTGAACATGATTACGGATGATAATCGTAGATGGAAACAAACACTAGCAGACGTACCACACAAAATAGGTAAAATACCTGGCATCGAAAAATTTGATGCCGGTTTTTTTGGTGTCAACCAAATGACAGCACATAACATGGATCCAATGTGTCGTTTATTACTCGAATGCGTTTTTGAGGCGCTACTAGATGCTGGTCATAATCCTTCCGATTTTGAAGGTACCAAAACTGGGGTTCACATTGGAGTTGGTTTGTCAGAAACGGAAAATGTAACGTTCTTCAATAACTCGTCAAATAACGGGTCTATAATTGGTTGTCAACGATCGATGTTGGCAAAAAATATAAGTTACTTTTTGAAATTGAATGGACCTTCATATACACTTAATACAGCGTGTAATAGCTCTATGTCTACAATTGAAAGTGCCTATGCCGAGATTAGAAACGGCGTATGTGAAAAGGCGATAGTATGTAGCGCACAAGTATGTTTAGATGAGCTGGTATCGTTAGAGTGTGCAAGAATAGGTGTTCTATGTTTTGATGGAACATGTAAATCATTTGATGACGCTGCTAACGGCTATGTAAGATCAGAAGCAATTGTAGTTATTATTTTGGAAAAATTGAAAGATGCAAAAAGAGTTTACGCAGAAATGGTACATTGCAAAATAAATTGCGATGGATATACAGACGAAGGTATTACTTTTCCTTCGCATGAATCACAACAAACGTTATTAAAGGAAATTTATGAAGAAAGTCAAATCGATCCAACAACATTATCTTATTTTGAAGCACATGCCACTGGTAAATAATATAATATTCTAACTGAGTATTACTTCACAATAAATTAATTACATTGTTTGTATAGGGACTAATGTTGGAGATAGTGAAGAATTAAAGCCTGTTAATGAAATAATTTGTAAAAATAGGAATCGACCATTATACATCGGCTCCGTCAAATCCAACATGGGTCATGCTGAAGCTGTATCTGGATTGTGTTCGGTAATCAAAGTTTTAATTGGATTTGAAACTGGGTACATACCACCAAATATGCACTATAATACACCAAAAAGAGGTATAGAACCATTGGAACAGAGAAGATTGATTGTGGTTACAGAAAAGACGTCCTGGCCAGATGATAATGGATTAGCAGCTGTTAATAACTTTGGATTTGGTGGTGTGAACGGTCATCTTATTTTACGGTGGAATAAAAAGGTTGTAATAAATAACGGAATTCCCGAAGATGACCTCCCTAGATTAGTTTGCGCGTCAGGAAGAACCAAAGAAACCGTATTTTCCATTCTTGATAATTCCACAAAAATGAATGCGGAGTTCATTAGTTTAGTTCATAACGTTTTTCGAAAGGTTATTCCAAATCAATTATACAACGGCTACAGTATAACCAGTAAACACGGTGAATTAGAAAGAATTATTTGTAAAAGCACAATTATTGAGAAAAAAATTAGGATTGTATTTAATAATACAAATGAGGAGTGGGTACATTTTGGTGAAAAAATTCAAAATATATCGATTTACTTTAAATTTTACAAAAAAATCTCAGACGTCTCACAAATGGTTTTAAAAAGAATAATCCCATTAAACGGTGACCAGCACCACACATTTTTCTCGCCAATAACAGCACAACTTGTTCTGGCATCTTTAATTAAAGAATTAAATTTTGAATTTGATGATGTTATCGGAATTGGTTATGGTGAATTGGCAGCAGCTTATTTAAATGGTTATGTGTCAATAGAAGATGTTGTGCTCGTTAATCATTACATTTTAATTGGCAACATTGAAAAAGCATTGAAAATTTTCGCCAAGAAACATAAGAAATTCATAAATGCAAGAAATGGAAATCCGAATCTACAGGATTATTTGCTTGGCACTATTTCAAATCCCAACGAGTTTATTCATTCAAAAAATAATTTTATAAATGTAGTTATTGGTCCGGAATTGAAACAGAAATCACATAATAACATGACGTTAGTTAACGCGAAAAGTAAGGAACCAATACTGAATTTATTAAGAAATCTTGGAAGGTGAGTAAATCAACCTGGTGTTTTAGTTACTTGGTCTATCCCTTACCACTTATCTTTGACCACTTATCTAAATCATCCTGCGTTTTTTATAATTATTCTAATAAATTTACTTATTTAGACTTTTTAATCTTGGCCATCCTGTCGACTTAAACAAGATTTATCCATCAATCTCTTATCCAGTGAGTAGAGGTACACCAATGTTATCTCCATCAATCAAATGGCATCATACCAATAACTACACGGTTCAATGTAGAAACATTGGTAAATTCATGAATCGAGGGAATACAAAAGAAATCAACACTACACTAGAGAAATACAATTTCTTAACAGAATATCTAATTAACGGAAAAAGTATTTTTCCAGCAGCAGGATACCTTATGTTGGCATGGGAAACTTATAACGATATAAACAACGACTATTCAAGCATCCCAAATTTGGTTTTTGAAGATATTAAATATTTACAAATGTCGAGCATACCAACAAATGGTATTTTGAAATTAACGGTGATGTTTGATTCGGAGAGTAAAGAATTTCAAATTTTTGAGGGAGGAACTCTGTTAGTCAGTGGAAAATGTTATCCTTTAACACAAGAAAATTCTATAACTTCTCGTCCTATTTATAAAGAAGAAACAGTAATGACATTTCAAACGGAAATTGACGAAAACGAGGTTTACAAAGAACTAAAATTAAAAGGATATTCTTGTGGAAAACAATTTAGAGGAATCAAGAAATATAATTATTTAACAAACACTGCCATGATTTCATGGACCGGAAATTGGTTAACGTTTTTAGATAATATCTTACAAGTACAAATAATAACGAATAATACAAGAAACGTATTTATTCCAACATCAATTAATAGAATTGTTATAAACGGAAATTGTCATTTAGAGGAAGCTATTGAGCTTAAAGGAATAGTACCCGTCAGTTATCACAAAAAATCAGACATAATTACGTCGGGTGCAATTGAAATTATTGGTCTAAAAGGTGCGGTCATACCTAAAAAAGAGAATATGGAACCAGTCATAGAGATAAATAAATTTGTACCTTTCCATGGTAAATTAAAACATGATGAAGCAGTAAAATGTATTGTTGAAATAATATTAGAGAATACCACTTCACAGTTACAAACTGTTAAATCGATTGAGGTAGTGACAGAAAACGAAATTTTAACTCCTGTTGTAAAAGCAGTTTTGGATAAAACACCTTTGCTAAAAGACGATTTAAAAGTTCTTACAATGCATGATATCAATTCAAAAGAAGACTTAGATTGTCTTATTTTTATTGGAAATAATATTACGAAAGACACCCAGTTACTAAATAAAGCTCTACAAGCCACCAGAAATACGCCTGGTTTTATTATTTCAAAAGAAAACGAAATGTCACCCTCAAATCCAAGAATACAAATAATATCCTCTTATCAAACCGAATTTAATTACTTACTGCTCATTAAAGAATCTTCCAAATATATAGAACCAGTTTTACTTAATATAAGTTCCATTGATGATTTTTCATGGATTCAAATTCTTCAATCTTATCAAGAAGTCACTTCAAAACGAATAGTTTTGTATTCCGAAAAAAATCCACACACTGGTTTATTAGGTTTGGTAAAAACTTTACTGAAAGAACCATCAGTTAAAAATATTTCCGCTGTAATTATTATGGATGATGTTCCAATATTTAATGTTAAAGATTATTTTTACAAGTCACAGTTAGAATTAAATTTAACTATTAATGTTTTAAAAAATGGAAAATGGGGGAGTTATAGACATTTATTTTTACCTGAAATTGATTGAAAGGTTAGGAAAATGGTTCAAATTTACAATTTAGGTTGGATAAGGGTTTTATATTTAATTAGATTATGGTAAATAGTTGTGGGATATGTTACTTATTCTTAGGATATGGTTTGTATACCTATCAAATAAATGATTCTTAATTATGATTTCATTTTCTAAACCAATATACAGTTAGTCACAAAAGTCTACATCCACCACCTAAAATAGCGATAAATAAAGACCATTAAATTCATCTTTCTATTAAATCTAAAACTACTTGTGTTTATTGACGAGCAAAATAAAACTAAATCAAATGCTCCATCAAAGCAAAAAATTATATACTAACAGATAAACCTCACAAAAGTCAACATACAGTTACGAATTTGATACAAAAGAGCCTACACAGACATTTCTAGTATTAATCATACTAACATCTGTTAGCAAATGCTAATTGGGAGCACTCAAAATTTGTGGAGGGAGCTGCGCAAGTTGAATATTTGCAATAAAAAAAACCCTGCCTACCTATGAGTCTGAGAGTAAATGAATCTAAGATCAATATTATCTTGACGAGGATGTCGAGTCAGGTGGCAGGGATTGATGGTATAAGCCTGTTTAAGCAGGGATTAATGCTGGGTTTCTGTTGTCCACACATAACTCCCTACCTTCTGCATGTAATTAACTTTTCTTTAGAGTTTGGTGTCTTTCCTGAAAAATGGAAATCTGCCAAAGTTGTTCCTATACCTAAATCATCAACTGCTTCTTCCTTCTCGGATGTGAGGCCAATTAGTATTTTTCTTTCATATTCTGCCCTCCATCTAATCAGATATTTTCAATTTTTGCCTCTAGGGGAGAAACAAAAGGCGATAGCGCTTTGAGGTTTTTGGCATTAGCAGTTGCTCGAAAAACGAGATCATGACATGTAAGCTACTTTTTTTCTAACTCTTATAGTTTCGGAGATAACCTATTCGGACATCGAATTTGAACCACCCTGTACATCAACTAGTAAAAGTTTACATTTCGTATTTTATATACATATTAATTAGATAAATTAGTTAATGTATGCATCACGGAATGAATGCTTTAAGTGTAACATATGTATATAATACAATTTTTGTATATTATTATCAGGTACATCAAGTAGTTTGGCATATAGTGCACACAAATTATTATGATACTACATGGAACATTTCTGTGAAAAAATTAATAAATTTAAATGTATTAATTTATTTAAATTAGTGAATATAACTTATTTTTCCCATATATATCGCATATTAGTAAATTTTATTTTAATAAATCGATATAGTCGTAATAAAATATGTTTAAAGAACGTATTCGTATTAAGTTTTGATCAAGTTAGTTTAAATGCACTGTATAATCCCTATAATTTTTTACCAAAAATAATTATTGATAATAAGTGGAACAAACGCATATTGAAACGATTATAATTAGATGGCGCTTGAAGCCGTTCCGAAATAATATTGGTAATAATAATAATAAAGTAAACGTGTAATTAAGTGATCGGATCATTTTCAAATTTGTCCGCTGTCATGGCGAGTACTAATGAACGTAAAAAAGAGGCAGATTGTGGTAGGTGTCATGAGTATGTCGCATGCTTTAAACAGATTTTTACGTAACTATCGCTTCGTTTTCTCAAAATCAAACTAAAATCTTCGCGAATTCAGTGTTAAAAACGGAATCGGTTTGTGATTGTGTGCCAATAACCTGTCAAAAATTCTAATCCTAACCTCTCTTATGCGACACCAGTTCAAGAGATTGTGTTTATAAACAACACTAACCCACATTTTTTTGTTGTTGAAATATAATTTTTTTGATTCTCTCCGTTCATAGAAAGTAAACACGTCGACGGTAAGAGTATGAAGAGGGGCAAACCACAACAGCAAATCTACAGACCAGGAAGCGGGCCATTGAGAAAATCAACTCAAGGTATTGGTGAATCAGAGTCAGATACAAAATTAATTGTCAATTCAAACGAATCGAAGTCAAAAACATCTGGAATGGAACGTATGGATAAATCGAAAAGTGCCGATTCAACACCAAGAGATACTCAACCTTTAGAACCACCTCCGTTAGAAAAATTTGGCGACATATCTATTTCTGAGACTAGAAAAAAAGTTAAAAAACCCGAACAATCGTTTTACGTTCCCCGACCGGTTGCGCAAGCTAGGGAATCTTCTATAATCGAAGAGCCACAACAAGAACCACCCAAAAGAGGATTATTTCAACGTGAAGAAACAAACGGAGTGGAAAGTTTTAATTTTGAACGTCCGTACAGTCAAAATAAATCAAAAAGGTACTCAAATAAACGTCGAAATGAAATTACTGATAACCAGGAGTGGAGAACATCTAATCCTTCTGGGGTGGCAAGAAATCTTAGACAGGGTTCTGAACCTCGTGCAATAGCAAATCAAAATAGCGGTTTCAGCAATAGATGTAGAGAAACCAGGAGTGTAGAACCTGTTATTTTAGCTAATCAAAGAAATTATAATGATAATAAAATGAGTTCTAAACCACCTAGTGGACGTCGGCACAGTACTATAGGATTAGAACCTGATAAAAGGCTCAAAAACTTGGATAACTTACCACCTAGACTTAAAAAGAAGTTGTTAGAAGATACTAATTTAGCCGGTAAGTTATATTTTTTAAATATAATGATATAATCTAGATATTAACTTTGAAATAAAAGAATGTTGTAAAAGGCTTGTAAGCAGAGTTGTTGTGATCTAATTTTTTAACATCTCTGGTAATAGATATTGGATAATAATAAACAATATGGAGCAGCTGTATCTCAACAATGGTAAGACTTAGCGCTTTTGGAAAAAAAATCTGTATCAGAAAAGTCGTCGTCGTCGTCTACTTAATAGTTTAAATCTTGTTGACCTGTACCTTCAGACCACCTCTTTCTTACGCGTCTAACTAATCGTCTTCCAGCTTTTACGGCTTTTAGATTCTATCATCCTTGGGAAATCTATGACTATGTTCATCATCTAGCTTTCTAAGTTAGCAGGATATTTATATTTCATTCTCAAAATAATTTCATGCTATTTCTCTTGCTCACTTTGCTGATATGAATGTTTTCCCAAACCGCTAGTCCTCAACATTGTTGAGTACAGCCGCTCTGTACCTCTATGGGACATGAAACTTCTTAATTTTCTAAAAAAAAATCACTTCCTAGAGTTTATTGCATTCGTAGTAAATCACATTGAGGTTTCATTTTTGAACAATTTACTTTTGGCAAGATAAACGTCAAACACTATTTTAATATTGCTAAATTTGGATCTTTCTAGATTTGTTTCTAATAATACCAACAGTGAAAGCCTTCAAACTACATAGTTGTTTCAAATGAAACTAATTTTAGAATTAACCACAAGAATCTTTTTTTATTATAAGCTTTTTTAATTAAAATTTGAATGAATTTAAGTCATGTTTAGGTCTAAAATATTTGCATAAATGTTACTTTTAACATTAAACTTGAAATTTTTCAATAATATTAAGTGGTAACTGGATCATGATTTTATAATACGACTTTAGCCATGGACACTAAACCTGTATTATATCAAGCTGTAATAAATATGTAATTATAAAGGTTACATAACATTATTTTTTAATACATGACAGAACAGAATATTAATTACTTCTATTATCTCTTACCTTTTATGTATTTATCCTTTTTTATTATGCATTTTTTTTATTTCAATATTTTTTTGTAGCAAGTTATGGTAGAAACGAAGAAAACTGGGATGGAAGCAGTATAACCTTCCAGGGAACTCAAACTTACGTTTCAAAGCCGCCCTACACGAATCTCTCGAATTTTCCAAACACCCCCCAAAGCAATGTTCACCATCATGTTCAATCGCAAAATCAACATCACACCAATCAAATGTATTTTACCCTCCCAGCCAATAGATCTCGTGGACGGGGTCGTCTTCAACAAGATTATGATAATCAAGGGAGAATGTTTCGTTCGGCTACGCCAGAAAAAATGTTCGCTAGCCCCTCGAATTCTCGTCCACCTACACCGAATACGTATGGAGGAAAAGTACGAAGTAATGAAAATTTGAATCGATACGACTGTAATTATCAACAGCAAAGAAATGATAATAGATCCGTGGATGAAAGGAAAGGGTTTGGAGATGGTCGGGGAGCGGAAAGAAATGGGAATTATGGTGGTGGTAGGATAGAAATTGGAAGAGAAAAACAGGGAGATCGAGTTGATAGCGAAAACGGTGCCTTGCAAAATGTTCCAGAGAGACCAAATCAGAGTGAAACCCCCAAGAAAAATTTTAATGAAAGTTTGGAAGCACAATTGTCGCCTGTTTCACCTCCTACTCCTATTGAGAAAGAAACAAATGTTGTTCCTGTTAGCAATAAAATATATGTAGGTTATATTTTCAAATAATTATTTCACTTTACTATCGTTATTTTCTCCAATTCATTTAGGATTGGAGTGAAGAAGTTGAATTAAATGATCAACTAGAAGCAGAAGCCTTAAGTGATGCTCTCACAAGATCATCTTCAGTAACCAGTTTAATGGAAACCAGTACAAAATCTTTACCCAATGTTATACCAAACCAGAATCAGAGATCAAGAAGGAAGTAAGTTTTGTTTTAATTTGTTGTCAATGTAATACGATTCAATTTTCTTTTTTCCAGAAAAAATAAGCGTAAAAACAGGAGAAGGTAAAAACATAAATGCTTAAATTTTATTTGTATACATCAAATTATTTTTGCAACATATATTTTTCTAATATTTTCAGAAGTAACAGTAGAAACAAAGATCGCGATCGAAGTACAGAATCCCATCCAAGTAGGCATCAAGGAAGAAATCAAAATTGGGATGATAGATCCTCAAGATTATATGATCATCACCGCACAAGACAAAGTTCTGTAACCAGTACAGATTCAAAAGATAATTTTCGAGTTCCTGAGCCTAGAAGACGATCGTCTCGTGATGTACGTGATAGAAGTTATGATAAAAAGACGCAATCGCGGGACGTCAGCAGAGATTCAAGTTTCGACCGCGCCCGTAGAAGTTCTTGTAAAGAACAAGAAAATTGGAGAGATGAAATACGTAAGCGGCAACACTCCGAATTGGAATTGAGTAAGGAACTTGAAAACAAAGATAGTCGAAAAGGTGGGTTGATCATTTTACCACCTAAGATGCAGGAACAAACTAAAATACCTGAAAGGCCAAAATGTCCGGATATAAATCGAAAAGTTCCAGGATGTGGACAAAAAACTTTGTTTGATCCGCATAATCCGAATAAACCGATTGTTGTAAAATCGCCAAATTCGAGAGTAAGCGTCCCTGGGTTTTCAGATAATACGGAAACACCACCTCCTCAATTATATACAACTGATCAGTTTGGAAATGTTAGGCCGGGTTGGTACGAAGAAAATTCGGATAAATGGAAATTGTGTCGTTATCCGGATTTGTTAAGAGAAATTATAACTGCCGATAATGAATTACAATACAATATTTCTTCTGGTTTACTCTTAATTAATTGGGGAACAGTTTCGAGCTATCGAAACTTTTTGATGCAAAGTTTAGAATATTTACTTTGTAAAGATATCAAGTTTTGTCAATCAGAATATGTTGAATATCATTTTTGGAAGATTTTATTCTACAACATCATCGAGATGATGAGAAAGGAAATTGCGAATAATTCGACGAATCGTGAACAGTACAAAGAATTTGTACTGTCCATTATTGATGAAGGTACAAAATATTTCGAATTGTTGTTAGATCGTTTAGAGGAGGTTTATAATTTTAAAATCAATAGCTTTTTAAGCTATAATACCACACCACAAAAAGGAAAATATGTTGGTTTGGCTTTAATTGCTGCACAAAAAATATTTTTATATCTTGGGGATTTATTGAGATATCGCGAACAAGTTAATGAAACTGCGAATTATGGAAAATCACGACAGTAAGTATATAGTGTGCTAATTAATTATCATACCCGACGTCATCATTGTAAGTATGCAACCAATATCACAGTACTGGTATTGCAATACGCGATTTGCACATTTGGTTGCATACTTGCAATGATGACGTCGGGTGTGATAAGTAATTAACACAGTGTACAATTTACTCTTTGTCTCGCTTATCTTCTTACTATCTTAAATTAATCTCTTAATTTTGTTTACTTTTTTAGGTGGTATATTAAAGCTCACGAGATTAACCCTAAAAATGGAAAACCTTACAATCAATTAGCATTATTGGCTGTTTATGCGGTAATTTTTTTAATAATATTTTATTATTAAATATTTTTATTTGGGTATAAACATTTTAGAGGAGAAAACTTGATGCTGTCTACTACTACATGAGAAGTCTTATGTCCTCGAATCCAGTACCATCAGCTAAAGAAAACCTGCAATCGTTGTTTGACGAGAATAGAAAAAAGGTAACTTTAAATTTTATAGATTATTTTTTATACGCAGATTTACGGTTTGGAATTTTTTAAATAAAATGCTTTGCCGTCGCACGATTTCGTATGAATATTTGAATACAATCAAATTAACGTATTAAATTGAACTGTCATTTAAGGTATTTTCTTAAATAACAATGTTTTTATTTAATTCAAAAGATTTTTTATAATAAGAAACTTTTCTTTCTATGCTGCAGTACCTTCATCAAATATGTGTAGGTATCACATAAAAAAAGAAACTCAATAACAATTTACTTACTGTCTTATTAAATGTGTGTTGTCTTCAATTGTATGTAAACAATCAGATACTTCTATTATTATTGTAACTAATAAAAAATAAATACAAAACGCTCGTGACCTATTTCGCTTTGGCAGTTATTTATTTGGCTTGTAAAATGCTTTTATTTTTAATTGCTGTTGCATGTATTCGCTTTAATACATATTTTTATGCAAAATCCAAAGGTAGTGTATATTTATTATTTTTGCTGAGTGAAATTGAATTAAGGAAACAATCCTTAAACAGGTACAAACACGTTTTTTTAATCACTTTGTCTTAGTTATTTTGGATACTAAATGATTTTAACAATAACCACTTGATTTTCTTAGTACGAACAAGGGGAGCGTAAACGCAGAGAAGAAAGACTCGAAAGAGCTCGGAAACACATGAAAGAAAAAGAATCCGAATCATCAAATCATCCGAATAGCCTTAGACGCGAAATTTGGATCAGACCGGATAGCGGCCGTCGCGTACATAGGACTACGTCTGCTGTACAAGAAACGCAACAGATGGATTCTGATGAAGAAGATTTGGCAGCGTTGAGCAGTGTTGAAGTGCGTCTAATTTTTATTAAACAAAATTTTATTCTTCTAGAGTATTGTGTTTTAGGTGAATAAGAGATTCGTCACCAGTTATCTACACGTTCATGGAAAACTAATTACTAAAATTGGGTAAGAATTCGAATTAAAATATTGAGGTTGTGGAAAAAAAATATATCTGAGGTTATTCATTTTTATGGGTTACATAGTACATATATTATGGTTAACACAATTCATTGTGCTGTAAATTTTTTAACTTTTTTGTATTTGCTTGTTTGGTGGTTGTGGCATGTAAATAATCTATCAGAAAAGATAGTCGGTGTAATCCTAGTGGCACAGAGTTTATGTCCCTACAAAAATAATCAAAATGGTGGTGATATTATTAAAGATCTGCCCCCAAAATGGTTTATGTCGGAATATACCTTTTTAGGTTTATATTTTCTGGTGTTTAGGTAAGTTGTAATAATGTGGTTTCGAAAAATCGATCAAATTTAAGTGTTACATTCAAAATAAACTACATGAAGTATTTAATGCATTATGAAAGTCTTCATACTATATTTATTTGAGCTGTATAAGACATCTTTCATGGTATTTTCTTTAGTCCCTCAATCAACAACGACTGTTAACGACGGAATCTCGCGAATGTCGTCAAGTACATCTTCGGTCGTCGCAATTAAACTCAGCGAGTGCATACTAAAAAGCTCATTTAATTTACACGGATGAATACGGCGCAATACCGAGTCCGAGATAGTACCGTTCCTTTAACTACATTAAATTTTGTAGCCACACTCCTATAGTCGTTCTTCTCTGCAAACAAATCTCGCGATGTAGTGAATTAGCACCTAGAGCTCACTCGAAAAAGCTCCTTTATACTTTTAACGTTTACCATGCGGCACTTTAAAACGGCCGAATTAGAACCTTTCACTCTCCCCTAATTGGCCGGCGCATAAACGCCATTAGCCGGTTACAACTCGCTGAATTTCATCTGCAAATATCCGGATGTCCGCGGGCGTGTGTGAACCTGTGAGAACGGCTTGGCGAGCACGCTTTTTCTTTCTTTCTCTCTCTGTGTTCATCTAATATCGTCTCTTTCTGGCGGCTGTGCTTTGTGTACCTGTGGTTCGCGGTGTACAGTTATCCTGTGCTAACATTGACTTACCCGCGACAATTGGAGGTGCAACGCTGGGGTCAACGGTTTTCCTAGATTGCTGGCGATACGCACTAAGCCGAAGTATTATAGTATATAAGTTATTTCATAAAAGGTTTATAAATTTTGATTGTATCAAATGTAAATTGAATACTAAGTTTCTTTTTTGATTTAAATTTATGAAAATGATGTTCAAAAAGGTTGGGTTACTGCGAATAATTTGAAGTATATCACGTAACCATTTTAACAGAGTTATAAAATTGTAATACATAAATGTGTCTGCGCAAAAAGTTAACGGATTCAATTTATGTATGCGTATTGGGTTTCGTAGCGAGAACGAACGTTGGGAAAGTGATTTCTTAATCGGCTTGCGATTATTCGGTACACGTCGCCCGTATATCTCTATCGGAATACCGGCGCTTCGTTCCCGGATTCCGGGCCCGGTTCTCGGTTCGAATTCAATCTAATCTCGAACGCAGCTCGCGCTGTCATGTTCAGGACTTGCGACGATAACGAATGGCCCTTTTCGGACGTCGCCAAAGCTTGTCTTCGACTAGCGGAATGCGCTCGTTTATCAACGTGTTAAGTCAAAAAAATGCATACTATGTTATCTTAAATTAGAAAATTAATATAAAGATTCTATTTTGTAATAAGTATTTTTTAGACAATTAAAAAACTAAGCTGAATATAATAAGATTGTGTGGTTCGATTTCGATTGTACTTAAATGATGTAATGAAAATGTGATATTGTACAAAAACATATTACATCTACAAATCCTGTATGGATACCTATTTACTATTACTATCTTTTACTATTTACTTAAAAATCTACTTATATCAAAAACACAACTGAAGTATTTGGGCTATTTACATCGTAATTGAATATAACTTTTATGTAGTTTTAAATTTACCTTAGTGTTTATTTGTTAACAGAAGGAGTTCTATTCGGCGCCACTTGATTAGATCGGTGAACTTGGCATGCGGGGGGCGTCGACGTGACGCCGCGCGGATTCGCACGCTCCGATTCCGATCGACGGCGAACTTGGTCGTAGGGCCCCCCTCGGGGCCCGGAGGTGCGGCTCGCGCTCGGTAGCACATTCCGCAGAGCGCAAGTTTACAATTAGACCAATTGAGCGTGAAATAATGGCTGCCGATCGCGTCCGCCGTCCTCTGTAATCGTTTTACTAATTCGATACGTGAGCACAATGCAAATCGATCGAAGAGGCGTCGAACGATCTGGCCAACTCGTATCGCTAGAATGAATTTTTTTTAATTATCTATTAGGAAAAACAACCAAAATAAGCTTTCAATGCGGTGCAGGAAGAAATATGATTTATGACTGAATTATTTATTTGAATGAAAGTAAATTGATGATAGATTGATATTGATACCGTTAGCTTTTCTTTTGATAATAACTAATGCCGTCTCATAGTACGAGCCTGAGAATGAAACGCACGCCTCTTGTTCCTATGTGTCGAAAACGAGTTCTCTTAACCATCCGTCAATCACCGTCGTATCCGTATCGAGTGCGTAACACATCCGACGTGTTAAACACGCTCGCGTACATCGAGCATAATAATAACGCGACCGGTTCGTATTACCATAAATTATAGCTCGAAATTGTATTGGCGTCGGTGCGTGAGCGCGTCCCGGACCGTTTCATCGATCAATGTCCGCTCATTGTCATGCTGTGTTGTCGAGACAAAACGCGAACCGCGATCCGCTTCCCGAAATAAATAAACGGACGAAGGAAAAATCTCAGTCTACCGTTAACATCGTAAATGCAAAGCGAAGACCCCAACAAGTGTTAGGATTTAGTATTCCAGTAACACCAACAGTCGTTTCATTTGGAACAATTCGCGATCGCACTGTTAATAGAGGAATTTTGATACTTAACGGTGATGTATGTTTAAAAATACTTATAAATTAAGCATAATAGTTACTGGAAATACTTGAATCTTTCCTAACTCTTGCATTATTAATTTATTCTTACGTAATACACACAAAGTTAAAGAATAGGTTATATCATTTACTTATGCAGTTCTGCGTGAGAATGAATATCATCTTTAATAAAACTCTATATTGCATCTAAAGTTTTGTTGTAACATCTTCCTTATTGGTAGGAGAAAAAGTTGCCATTTCACTATCAGATCTTTGATATAGGAAGTGAATTTGAGATCATAAAGAGTCAATTGAATATGTTCCATTACGTTGGTACAAAATCCCCCTTAATGGTTTTTGTTTATACTTCGTTTATGCTATAATGATGGTTAGGAAGAACAATATTATATAACGCTGTACCGATCCATTCAGTTAAAAAATAATGAATTAAAGATTAAAATAGCAAATTAAAATTCTAAAATAAACCTATTCAATTGAGACAGTGTTAGTAATTAAAAAATTGATTGCTTGATTGTACTCATAATACTAATAGATGGCGGTTTTTACCTTTCATCCGTCAATAACGCTGCAAAATAAATAAACAACTTTATGTCTTTGGTTACAAACTATAAAAAGATAGTAAAATTCTTTAAAGTAATTTAGTTTTATTGTTTATATTAAAGTAATGCTATAATTTAAAGTATTAATGTACTTAAAATTCTTGAAAAATTTTGATCTTAATGTTTTTCTTACTTATCCAGGCTTAAAGCTTAAATTTAATGCGTGATTATTTATATGTCTCTTTTGATTATAATGCCTAATTATATACATAACATCAATCATACTTAAAACAAAATCTGCATTTTGACGTTACGTTGATCTGATTTCGCAGTTATTTCCATTAAATACACCTGGGAAACAAGCTTAACTCAATACTCATCAACAATTTTTAATTCCATCTGCATAAAATTTTTCTGAATTTTATATCCCCATTAATGTCTTGATATTAATAACTTATAAATACAATCAGATAAGAAGTCGATACGTATTCACATCATTACTTTTAAAAAAGAAAGATTAGTCTAAATATAGATGTATCAATAACTTCACTTGCGTCGGTGGTTAGCATAAATTATCTATAAATAACTATTCACTTGCAAATGTCGCCGGTTACCGCTGTGGCCATGAAGATCCCAAGTGACATAGTGGTTTGTTTTTAGTTAATCTTAAATATTAAGGGGTCATTTTCTTGCATAGATATTAATTATATTCACAAATTACAGTAATATGACTACAATTATTTTTTCGTACACAGCGCATCAACTCACCAATTTATTTTAACATTCAGTGTACCGTTCGCAAAATAATTATAGTAATTCGGGGACAAAATAATGATTATTAGATTGCGATTCTGGGCTTTAAGAAGACGACAATTTATCGGCCATAATAAAATGATTAGGCCGGTGTCGGAATTTTTACGTGTCGATCGCCAGTGCCTGCCGGAGTTTATAGCCGCGCTTCAGTCGCGTAGAAAAACAGATTCCTAAACCGCAATTTACGATTGGATGAACGGTTACAAGGCGATGACGATTTAATCGAACTCTTGCCGAGATTGCAATGCGCTTTTTGGTCTTCGAAATAAATGTAACGGTATAGCGGCAGATTAACAGACCACAATAAGAGAACTTGAAATGAAAATGCTTTAAATCTGCGCATACGTGTCATAATATTACCTATTTTTAATTTATTATTGTTTATTATTGAACGGAATGACTTAATTAATTTTTTTTATGATATAAAGGTTTTGTAAAACGTTGAAATTTATTTCTCATGGATTTTCTCATAGATTAGATATGCTTACATCAATCTTCCAGTAGAATTTTGCACAGTAAGTCCTGTAAAGGCTATTTACTCGTCGTAGATTTTGCTTCATTACCCACGGTATTACGTTCGGTTAATTAGATACGCGATAAAAGAATCTGGGAGAGTTTTGAACCTGATTCATAGATACCATGACCTTTTCCGTAATGAGTGTGTCGACCGAGACGTTGAATTAAGATGGTGAGGTTCTCTATGCAGAACATTTTCATCTAGTCATCATTTTTTCCTTTGAGTTGATTTCTTCTGATTGCCCATGGTCAGCCTTCAAATGAATGATCAGGCAATGACACCAGAAAGGAAATTATCAAACGGTCGAAGGTCTACGGATCCGTCAACTTTTGTGTACAGGGATAATCATTTGGCTATTGTCCGTCAGCTCCGAATCACATAAACCAATAACACTTCAAATTCGACGGCCCCCAATCGTTCATTGTCTCCACGTTTCGGTGGTGTATCGCCCAGTCACCATTGTCCATTGTTGTGAGCCCAATTATACGGGGCTTATTCCGGCCTCTGATTATGTTGTCAAACGGCCTAACTAGACATTATTGAGATCCAGTTCGATCTACAAAGTTAACCAGGCTATTGATGATGCTTTCCCGCCGGGCGTACATTAAATTTAATTAAAAATATAGTTCGTTTTTGCTTCGACGAATATTTAAATTGCGGCTATTTACATCGACTGCCGCGCGGAACTAATTAGTATTTAAATATTGCCCAATGTGTAATTTACCTGTCAACTGTAGTTAGCTCTGAGCACAATTTCGATATCTAAATTTACTCGGAGACTACGTTTCGTGTCTGCTAGACGAGACACTTAACCACTTTTTATTACAGGTTCGATAATTTCGATCCAATATGTGATTATGATGTTCCGGTTAATGTTGCCTTGTTACTTTTCGTAACATCTTATTTAAAAGAAATTTCAATGTAATTGCTATTAATCTAATTTTAAAGAAATTTCGTGACTGTAATAGGTGTTTTTTGTGTCTTTTTCTTTAATAGGTATTTCAACATGGTGTAAGAAGGAAATGAAGCTTTTATGTACAAAACGAATATTTGAGGTTTTTTAACATACGTTTTAAGAAGTTGCGGGTTGTAACAGCAGCCATATGGTTACGTGTCCAATACTCACGCATACATAATGCATCACGTCAATATTTTTTTAAAGACGTACCTGTCTTTGTCGATTTATTTGCGTTAATGCGGTCAAAGGTACCGCTTTAAACACACCAAAAACTAACTTCGAACATAAAACCAACTAACGGTTACTTTAAGAAAAGATTCCAAGTATTTCGAAGCCTTCCTTTAACTTTACAACCAGAAATTTAATATGTAGAAACCAGCAATTTCGCGAAATCTATTAACACCGTATAAATTCGTAAATGACACCGTTTATAGATGTAACAGGTTGTTCATTACGAAATTTAACACAAGCTTATACATACAGTTAGTTCTTCAAAGTATTACTAATTGGTATGTGTCCTTTAATATTTGCGACCGGTCGTTGCAGGTTCTCCGTCGAAGCTATTCAATTACAATGGACGGTAGAGTACAATGCAAGGGGCGCGCGAAATCGTTATTTATGAATGAACGTGTACGTTTTCTGGGAAGACCATGAAGTAGTTTTAATGTTCCTTTGACCTCGATACTAACAGACCTTTCTGCAAGATTGTGTTCTTTTTGAATTATCCTCTAAGAATTATAAGCATATTAATTTAAAAATATATCATTTTATTAATACATTTTCTTTTCTATTACTTTCCAGAATGGAAACCTTTCAAGAGACAGCTATTCAAATGTTAAAAGAATTTCGGGCGTTACTTCAACACTCCCCCGTTCCATTACCATGCAAAAGGTTCCTTCAATTGTTGGCGTTGAACATGTTTGCGATCGAAAGCACACAATTGAAAGGTAAGTGCTAAGTTTTGTTTCGGACTGTTAAATATTTAAAAGGTTTTTCTGAAGAGATCAGAACAGCTTTATTTCTTTATGATCTCCAAAAACACCTTTTTGTTTTTTTTATTACAATGTTTAATGAATTTATTTAATGAATCAGAAGTGTTAAAAATTTGCAAGAGATCATCCATTTTTTTTTCTTGCGTAAAGAAAGATAATGTTTCTTTGTATTCACATGCGCGTGTGAAGTGGATTTAATGACTTTATTTGCCGTTTTTTTCGTTTCCTGTGGTTTTAAAAAAACACGATTAACAATGCTCGGGGTTGATCGAGACTCCGCCTATTCGAAACTCGTATCTTTTTCGCTCTTTCCACTTGGGTTGGCGCGGTGAATGGGTCTATTATGCGCGATTTCGGGTACATGGCGTGGTGGTCCTTTTGAAGGAGTCGTTTGCGCTGTCAATCCGACCGGAGAATTCCAAGAAGAGTGAATAAACTTTGCCGTTTTCATTGCACACGGCTGGGTGCGTTTTGAATTTAATGTCCCCCAAAAACGCTTCTGTACCGACAGTTTCAAGATGACGCTGATGGGCCAGGAAATGCCAAACCGGTTTTGTTTGTTTTGGACTTGACGCTTAAATTCTCGACAATGTTTGCGAGGTATTTTTTTGTCAATATTAAGTGTTTGTTGATGTTTTTCGAGTAAATATTTGGGAGCGCTAACAATAGGGATGCTTTAGTGCTTTCTACAGGATTTTAAATCGTAATTATTTCATTATAATATTGATATCAACATTAAAATTGCTTGTAAGATAGGAGTGGCGGTCTCTGGAATGAACGTAAATACGCACACGCCCACATTTACCTCCCATAGTTATAACGTATGTTTACAATCTCGTATATGCGACGCTTAAACTGTCCTAGACACTATTTAAATCATCGGTAACCGACCATAAACTTCTAACACGATCGGTTAAATCTTGTATCATAGTAACACTTTGTTCAGTCTCAAGAATTTTTATAAAAACTTTCGAGATGTACTCGGAATTTTAATTTAAATTCTAAGTTATGAAATACGCGTGCAAAGTTTTTGGAACGAAAGCTCCGCGGAGTTGTAACTTTACACTACGCCTTTGGGGGTTGAATTTTATCCCGTCTAGCCAAAACTGTCACGTAAACTTCGGCGCCTGCCGTTTTGGGCCCACTTAAAAATGATAAATTTCCCATAAGGGAACCTCACCCGTATGCTTTATGAACCGTACCATTTTCACTAACATTTTCGTATGCTATAGTATTGGGGGACGAATGCGGAGGGAAGAACTTCAGCTTTTAGTCGTTTTCCCCCGAGAAGGTTTTACAGCTCACATCTTACGTCTTGAATATTTTGCAGGTAGAGCTTTAAGCTTTCTAAAGGAATTTCGTTTTATTTAGGGGTATGAATAAAACATTGTTTGGCGTTAACTTGACTTCACAGATTTTTTCAGGAAACTTTTGAAAATTCTTGCTATCAAATATCAACCAAATTGAAGGAAATCAGATAACTATAAAATGGATTACAGTTGAGGATGTTACTTATGAAACGTACTGTATAATGGTTTGAATATACTTTCATCAGTCTGCCGACAGGAGATTACGACAACGCACTGAAGATGCCAAATAGAAGCAACAGAAGGAACGGATGAAATCTCGGAACAACACAAATATACTTTATAGTTATATATCTCATGATAAATGATTTTGAAGAATCTGTCAAAGTTACAAATCCAAATAACCTGTATTTCAAATCTCCACAGTAACTATTTATAGCTTCACTTTATATTATCGTAATTTGTTTCTACTTAGCCGAGAGAGCGGATGCGCGCTATTAGAGCAAAAACTCTAATTGGAAATGTTAATTAGATTATCGTGCGCGCAACGCAATATTCTTGGGCTCTGAATGAATTCTGTTTGTAAGAGAACGCCGATGTTTGCTCCACGCCCGAATTCACTACCCGGTTACGCAACAACAACTTGCTCCGAACAGCTAAACGTTATACGTGTGTACATTTGCATAGGGCCATCGGTAACGGTAACCGAAGAGTAACGTAAAATCCAGAATTATCTACACGCCCAGACGGTGGCGGCCAATGTTGGGGCCGGGAGAGAGACGAAATCGACGTCGTCGTTGGCGCGCCGGTAGCCCGGGAGCTCGCTATCGCTTTGTCAACACCGTTAACCGAAACAATTAATCGTAAACATCTCAGCTGCGCTAGACGTTCAACGTACAGTACAACTCGTAGATCCTCTCTCTTCGTTGTTACGCTTCGGTGAGCCCGCGAAGCAACCACGCCGGGAAGCAAACTGCCGAAAAAAAAAATCTTAGAAGAGAGTGTTTACGACAGGAAACTGACGTTGAAGCCAAAATCCCGCAGAAGACGACGAAATGCTTAAACACAAAAGCTACTGTTTGTACTAATTACAATTAGTTGAAACAGGAAACGGTTCTATTCGATATACGATACAATTAAAGTTTTTTGTGATGGCGATTTCTTTATTACTTGAATAGATTGTGCGATTAATTAGATTAATTATCTTACAAGATATATATCTCGTGGTGTCTGTGTACTTTTTTTCAACCAACCGTTATAAATCGCAACCACCTTGAACCACGTAATAGCTCCGTCTAAAGCAGCCCGACGCTGTTTTGGGCGCCGCGTCCCGCTGGGCGAAATATGGGACCGCGGACAAAAATCATCGCGTGAATTATAATCGTTGCGATAGCGCGACAGGATAATCGATTATCAGATGAACGTTCCTTAATGAGTTGTGTGATCTTTCTATACTTGATGGTATTCCATGAGTCGCACATTTCTACAAACGTATTTTGAATTTTACATCAAAGTATTAATACTTGGAAAATATTGAAATAAAATGGCTTGGTTAAAAACTTATAGACAGTTTATAGAAAAACCGGGAAGGCCGCGTAAGGAGGTGAGGTTATCCCCTTAGATGGATATTTAATAGCGGTTGTTAAGGCCGTAACGTTTAAGTTGTTATAACTATATTTAAGGAAGACCGCTGCGATATTGATTCTTACTTGGAATTAATAAACAGCTTCGCTATTTTATCGTTAAGTTGCGGTCGATTAACTGAATCACGTTTAGATCATATCTGATCGGAGAACTTTTAATTATTCTTCCTCCGTTCTTCACTACAATGTATAAGAGATACTTCTTAATTGAGACATCTTAAGTAGATAGCAATCTTTAGCAAAAACTACGCAAAGTTAATCAAAAAAAATAACACTTAATTGTCCTGAATTAACGTTACAATGACCTGAAAATATATTATGAACCCAATAAGGCCGTGAGACTTTATCATTTGACACGACACGGTCTTCAATAAATTATTCCGAGCCAACTGAGTTTTGCTATCTTCGGTGGTCTCGTGCAGACATCCCATGGTTCTATGTGACCCATATGGGACGAACATAAACGCAGATAACCCATGAACGACCTCTGGCGCCGCCATTTTGATTTAACGCGTCGCTTAATCGTGCTTTAAAGTGTCTTGTTTATATGTCCGCCAGCGAGGTAATGTACAACGTGTCAACATTGCAATTTACTTGACGGTCGACATCGTTTTGTAACCAATAGGTCGTAAATATCATTGTTACTATTTTTCGATGATTAAGACTATGATTTATCTCAAATTGAAGCATTTTAAGTTTAATAATCGTTTAGCGCACTTAAAGTTACTTATTTGTTGCAATAAATAAGAATATCTTTATAATTTAATGATAGATTGATTTCTAACTGCCATATTGGAAGAACGAAACGTTTCTCACTTAACGACCGGTACATAGACGATAACATCGCCACCGTTAAATCAATTAATTAGCTAATTGATTGGATTTCTAATTGGCCGGACCGAAACTCCCGGCTCATCGCTCATTTCTTGCGTATCGAAGCGGACGATACAATAGGCGACTGTTGTATCGATAACAAAAGCAATCAGAAGTCGTGTACTTGGATTTCTTCTACGGTAATGGTGTCGATGACTTCCGCGTGTCTTTTTCAAACCAAGTTTAGAAAAACACTGTGGAGATAATCGGAGGTAATCGCGGCGATGTTGCAATCGAGCCTATTGTGCAACCGAATTAACCGGAAAATTGGATCACACCTTTTTCTCGATACGGTTTAAAAGAAAAAGTCGCGTGGAGTGGTCGTAAAACAATTAATGTCCCCAGGACGTAACGACCAATACCAATTTTCGAATCGAGACGTTCATCTGGAAATTAAATTTACGCCTAACTGTACACCGTTGCTTCGGGCGGATGTTTCGAAACAACGCCTTTACGAATATGGAGAAGAAGAAGTTGAGGAAAAAATTCTTGAACCTTTGTAATGACGATGTATAGTCTAGATTGCTCAATTTCCTTTCTAGTGTACTTTTTTATCCCTTTTTATTGCTTTCACTTTTCTTTGTTACAATAATATTGCGTGTATGTGTTTCGTGAAGTCGTGTACGATGTGTAAAATGACAGAAGTGTTATCTCTCACCTCAGTCTAGAGTACATATTTATCTTTATCCGATTCAATCCTTGCCTTATAGAAGTGTTTGAATAATTCATGGGTGAATTCGGGCTACGATCTCGCAGGTATGCGAGAATTACGTTTCCGCATATTACCAGGCACCGCAAGAACGACAACAACTTGTGCTTACGTTAATTTTATTAGGATTTCCCTTACACGAAGGAACGTAATCGAATTGAACAACTAATTGGTTTCGGAAGAAGTTAATGTTCATTCGTATACGCTATGTAAACACATATTCGTATGGATATAAGCAATTAACTTCAAATTCAAAAAAGCAAATAAAATTATCTATATGTTACCACCATCTTATTCATTTAATCGAGATTGCTAATTTTTCTTTACTTTTAAGTAATAAAATTAAAATTAAAAATTCAAAGAAGAAACATTCATCGTTTATGTTTTTATCTATACCGGGAATTTCATATAACTCGCAATACA